CAAAAAATGCTGCTCGCTGATTTGAGACGTCTCAAAAAATGCTGCTCGCTGATTTGAGACGTCTCAAAAAATGCTGCTCGCTGATTTGAGACGTCTCAAACAATGCTGCTCGCTGATTTGAGACGTCTCAAAAAATGCTGCTCGCTGATTTGAGACGTCTCAAAAAATGCTGCTCGCTGATTTGAGACGTCTCAAAAAATGCTGCTCGCTGATTTGAGACGTCTCAAAAAATGCTGCTCGCTGATTTGAGACGTCTCAAAAAATGCTGCTCGCTGATTTGAGACGTCTCAAAAAATGCTGCTCGCTGATTTGAGACGTCTCAAAAAATGCTGCTCGCTGATTTGAGACGTCTCAAAAAATGCTGCTCGCTGATTTGAGACGTCTCAAAAAATGCTGCTCGCTGATTTGAGACGTCTCAAAAAATGCTGCTCGCTGATTTGAGACGTCTCAAAAAATGCTGCTCGCTGATTTGAGACGTCTAAAAAAATGCTGCTCGCTGATTTGAGACGTCTCAAAAAATGCTGCTCGCTGATTTGAGACGTCTCAAAAAATGCTGCTCGCTGATTTGAGACGTCTCAAAAAATGCTGCTCGCTGATTTGAGACGTCTCAAAAAATGCTGCTCGCTGATTTGAGACGTCTCAAAAAATGCTGCTCGCTGATTTGAGACGTCTCAAAAAATGCTGCTCGCTGATTTGAGACGTTTAAAAAAATGCTGCTCGCTGATTTGAGACGTCTCAAAAAATGCTGCTCGCTGATTTGAGACGTCTCAAAAAATGCTGCTCGCTGATTTGAGACGTCTCAAAAAATGCTGCTCGCTGATTTGAGACGTCTCAAAAAATGCTGCTCGCTGATTTGAGACGTCTCAAAAAATGCTGCTCGCTGATTTGAGACGTCTCAAAAAATGCTGCTCGCTGATTTGAGACGTCTCAAAAAATGCTGCTCGCTGATTTGAGACGTCTCAAAAAATGCTGCTCGCTGATTTGAGACGTCTAAAAAAATGCTGCTCGCTGATTTGAGACGTCTCAAAAAATGCTGCTCGCTGATTTGAGACGTCTCAAAAAATGCTGCTCGCTGATTTGAGACGTCTCAAAAAATGTTGCTCGCTGATTTGAGACGTCTAAAAAAATGCTGCTCGCTGATTTGAGACGTCTCAAAAAATGCTGCTCGCTGATTTGAGACGTCTCAAAAAATGCTGCTCGCTGATTTGAGACGTCTCAAAAAATGCTGCTCGCTGATTTTAGACGTCTCAAAAAATGCTGCTCGCTGATTTGAGACGTCTCAAAAAATGCTGCTCGCTGATTTGAGACGTCTCAAAAAATGCTGCTCGCTGATTTGAGACGTCTCAAAAAATGCTGCTCGCTGATTTGAGACGTCTCAAAAAATGCTGCTCGCTGATTTGAGACGTCTCAAAAAATGCTGCTCGCTGATTTGAGACGTCTCAAACAATGCTGCTCGCTGATTTGAGACGTCTCAAAAAATGCTGCTCGCTGATTTGAGACGTCTCAAAAAATGCTGCTCGCTGATTTGAGACGTCTCAAAAAATGCTGCTCGCTGATTTGAGACGTCTCAAAAAATGCTGCTCGCTGATTTGAGACGTCTCAAAAAATGCTGCTCGCTGATTTGAGACGTCTCAAACAATGCTGCTCGCTGATTTGAGACGTCTCAAAAAATGCTGCTCGCTGATTTGAGACGTCTCAAAAAATGCTGCTCGCTGATTTGAGACGTCTCAAAAAATGCTGCTCGCTGATTTGAGACGTCTCAAAAAATGCTGCTCGCTGATTTGAGACGTCTCAAAAAATGCTGCTCGCTGATTTGAGACGTCTCAAAAAATGCTGCTCGCTGATTTGAGACGTCTCAAAAAATGCTGCTCGCTGATTTGAGACGTCTAAAAAAATGCTGCTCGCTGATTTGAGACGTCTCAAAAAATGCTGCTCGCTGATTTGAGACGTCTCAAAAAATGCTGCTCGCTGATTTGAGACGTCTCAAAAAATGCTGCTCGCTGATTTGAGACGTCTCAAAAAATGCTGCTCGCTGATTTGAGACGTCTCAAAAATGCTGCTCGCTGATTTGAGACGTCTCAAAAAATGCTGCTCGCTGATTTGAGACGTCTCAAAAAATGCTGCTCGCTGATTTGAGACGTCTCAAACAATGCTGCTCGCTGATTTGAGACGTCTCAAAAAATGCTGCTCGCTGATTTGAGACGTCTCAAAAAATGCTGCTCGCTGATTTGAGACGTCTCAAAAAATGCTGCTCGCTGATTTGAGACGTCTCAAAAAATGCTGCTCGCTGATTTGAGACGTCTCAAAAAATGCTGCTCGCTGATTTGAGACGTCTCAAAAAATGCTGCTCGCTGATTTGAGACGTCTCAAAAAATGCTGCTCGCTGATTTGAGACGTCTCAAAAAATGCTGCTCGCTGATTTGAGACGTCTCAAAAAATGCTGCTCGCTGATTTGAGACGTCTCAAAAAATGCTGCTCGCTGATTTGAGACGTCTCAAAAAATGCTGCTCGCTGATTTGAGACGTCTCAAAAAATGCTGCTCGCTGATTTGAGACGTCTCAAAAAATGCTGCTCGCTGATTTGAGACGTCTCAAAAAATGCTGCTCGCTGGGAACATGTCCCAAGACCACGTACCATGTGGAACGTCCATGTGGTGGGTGGACGTACCATGATCGTGTGGGTTCGGCACGAGCCAAGCCCATTCCTCCTCCCTCTCCTCCCACTCCTCCCACTCCCCCAACTCTACTCCCTCCTCTTCCTCCTCCGCTTCCCTTCCCCCATCCCCATCCCCATCCCCTCTTCTCCCCCTCTTCCTCCACTTCCCCATCTCTCCTCTCAAAATCCTACCCACCACACCAATCCCTTCAGCCGATCCTCCCAAATCCGCTGCTGCCTTCTGATTGGTCCGCACGCACGTGAACAGTACCATGCACAGTGCCGACCGCACCCCTGCCGCCCGCCCTGCCGCCCCGCCTGCTGCTGCAATCCGGGAGAAGGTTCCTGGAAAGCACCTGTCCCTCACTGCCTGCTGCTCCCTCCTGCCGCCACCGCAGAAGTTTCCCAGAAGCTGCAGGACGGTTTTGAGTGTGTCTAGATGGTTCACAGGGAGAGGGACGGAGTGGGGGAAACGGGGGCCAGAAGGGGCAGCAGTGGGGGTGAAGGTGGATAGAGAAGTGGGGTGGGGGGAGGGGGAAGGGCCGATGTGGGGAGGCAAGGGGAGGGGTGGGGAGGTAGAGAGAGAGGGAGGTATGCCTCGATTGACTGAGTTCAGTTGGCCGTCTGCTGAGGGTTGTTTGCCTTCTGCTGCTTCTGCCACTGCTGCTGCCGCTACTTTAGGAGCTGTTGCCGGAGATGTTCCTGACATGTCTGTTGCTGCTGACGTGGCAGCAGCTGCTGTTGCTGACGTCGCAGCAGCTGCTTCTGGTGATGTCGCCTTGTTCTCCGTTTCTCCAAGTCTACCCGCTGTACCTCCCACTTCAGCTATTAACGAAGCCAGAGCGTCTGATAACGAGGATACACTCCCCATCTCTTTCAATTTAGTCACATCACTCTTACTCACATTACCCCCCGCTTTTGCCTCTCCCCCCACACTTCCTCCCATTATCCCCTTTCCCTGAGAATCTCCCCCATCCTTCCGACTCCTACCATCCCCTCTAATATGCGCCTTAGTTGCGCCTAATGCCGGAGCCGCATACACGTCGCGGCTCAAAATTAATCTATCCGCGATAGTCGCCACTAGGTCCACCGCGCCGCACCTCAGGAACGCGTCCTGATTGGCTGCCGAGCCTGCCAGCAGGTTCCGAACCACCCGCAGCGCCTGCAGAAGTGGCCGAAGCGCGTGCACCGCCCATACGCTACTGCTGGGAGGATCGGTAGATAACCCATGGGGCCCATCATTTGCGGCGCCGAATGCGGCGCCGTTTGCAGGATCGGACGGCTGTGCTATGCCAGCATCGGCGACATCTGCGGGATGGAAGATTCCGTGAAGCTCTGGGCAGTGTCTGGAGAGCTCGGGCACGACGGCGACCAATCGGGTGATTGCAATTCCGCTGCCCACAGCTCCAGTGCTGCCGTTACTTCTGCCCGAAGAGCTGCCCGTGAGAGATTCGCTTTCTTCTGTGAGCCAATCGCGCTCGCGCGATCTGGCAAGGAGATTCGCAAGCGCCTCGGCGAGAGGATCCAACGAGGCTACGTCTCCGCTAGCGAAGCGAGGCGCGAGCGATTCGACTTCGGTTAGAAGCGATTCCATATTCAGCTGTAACGTGAGGACGTAGGGCGGAGTAATTTGTCAGCGAGGGCGACTATCGCGGTCAATAGAATGGAATATTACTGCCCAAACTCGCAAAATGGGTACGAATGCATGCCTGAGAATGAAAGAACAGAATGCTACGAGATGGTATCGTAAAGAAAGTGTTTGGTGTGTTATGTAGGCGCTAATTTGTGGGGAAGTGATGCGGGCGAGATCGAGGGTTGAGATTGAGGGTTGAGATTGAGGGTTGAGGGATTCGAGGGCGTTCGGCGAAACGTTTCCTACATCGTCAGTGTTACCGTGGTAAAAAATGTAGCAGGGCGAATCGCCCCAATGTTTGCCATCTTTCGCAAATACCAACCATCGTTTCGCGACACCGCCTCAAACTTTTCGCGCGAGGAGCACGTTCCGCGAGATTCCCAACTTTCCCATCCCACACCTCCTTGCCTCAAATTCTCCGCTCCCGCCAGTCCCCGCTCTATGCCCTCTTTTCTCCCTGAGCCCTTTTTCCGCAGACAAGTGAACAATCCAAGCCCCCCCCCTCCCCCCCCAATGAGAATGGAGGACTGAGAAATCTCCTAGCTCAAATCTGACCAGCCATCACCGTCTCTGCACAGTCCGCCACTGCCTGTAACCTCGGCGCGCTCCCCGCGCGCTCTCCGCGTGCAATCCGCGCACCCTCCGCTTCGCCGTCCTCCATTCCGCGCATCACCTCCGCCCATCGCGTTCGTTCCTCGAAGCTTCGGTTCCGATGGACCTCGCGGTCCGGGCCCAGTGGGCACTGCAGCAGCCAATTAGTTCATGCCACGTTAGCGCATCGTCAGCAGCTCGGCGCAAATCAGAATATACCAGCCGCAGCTTCGGCGGGAATGGCGGAAGCCCGAGCTTTCTCCTACTCTCCTGTTGCGCCCGCTTTCCCGCGCGGAATTCCTCCGCGCGCAGTCGAAACTCCGCCGCTTCCGCCGCTCGTCCGCGCGCGGTCGTCGTTCTCCGCGCGGGCAGCCGCCCATCAGCACCTCCAGGCAGAAGAAAAAGAATGCCGGCTGTTGTGATCGTGTCCATTGGCGGAGGTTCGGGGTTAGGTATGAGAGAGGCAGGTTCGGCAGTAGGCTCGGCATGGGGCAATGCAGGTTCAGAAAGGGAACCAGCAGGCTGGGTGAAGGCGAGGGGAAGCACAGTGGCAGCAGCAACTGCTGTCTCATTGGCAGGAGACGGATCAAATCTGTATAGTGACGTATCAAATTTGGGCGAGCCAATCGTGGAACAAGACGTGCTGGCTCAGCAGCAGCAGGGGGAGATGGAGCAGGGGAAGGGCGGAGCAGCAGCAGCAGTAGCAGCAGCAGCAGCAGCAGGGGTGAGGGGTGCGGTTGAGAGAGAGAGTAGAGGAGGAGGAGAGGTTGAAGGAGGGAGAGAGAGCGTGGAATTGGAGGGGGTATTGGAGCGAATGAGGAGGGCTGTGCGGATAGAGTGCCTGGCTGAGGGCGCACACGTGCATGTGACAGGTAAGCGTGGCATCTTCAAGCCGCAGTTGACATGTCCCGTTATGACTGGAGTTCCCATCTCTGCTCTCTTTTCACTCATATCTCTCTCTCCTCCACACCCCCCCACTGCTCCAACCGGCCAATCCCGTGTCGCCAGGTGTGCAGTCGCTGATGGGCATGGAGGGCACGTGGCAGCTCCTCGTGTCGCCAGCTGGCGGCCGATTCGTGGAGTCGTTTGTCGGGCAGCACATCTGGAGCGTGTCGGGTTTTGCTGGCCAATCAGAAACCAGCGAATCCGATACCGAATCTAGCGCTTCGTCAAGTAGCTCATCCGATATCATATCTGATACCTTATCAGATAGCTCGTCTGATAGCTTATCGGACGATGCACTCAAAGATTCAGTTTGCCGCCCGGAAATCCAATCTACGGTGTGGGACGTGGATACGGCCGGGCGGGTATCTTCGTTGGATCTGGACGACCACGAGGTGTATCTGCTCTCCGTGTGGCTGCGCTCGTCTCTTTGGCTGCTGCCGCCCGTCGCCAGCTCAGCACTTGAAATAAGAGCAGTGGGCGGCGAAGAGGAGATTGGGGAAGGCGGATCACTTGTTGGCATTCCGAACGGCATGCGGATGGAGATTGATGCACACGTGGCAGCTGATGATAGGGAGATCTTGGCGATTAACCTGATTGGTCAAGAGGTGCGTTCTGGTCATGGTCGCTTTCTGAGGCGCCTTGTATTTTCCATTCCCCTTCCCAACTCCGTCCACCTCCCCACATGTGGGTCTTTAGACTCTTTGTGCTTTCCTTTGCCCCAATTCCAACCCATCATGCATCATCGCTTTCTTCCTACTTCCCTGCAGGTCATCATGTATGTGGCGGTGCATCGCTCTGATTGGCTGCCAAGAGTGGCAGTGGTGAAGGCCTACGGGGCCCTCGAGACCTTCACCTTCACCCAATGGGCGCCTGTAGCGGTATGGTTGTAGCAGTAGTGATGGTAACAACAGTAACAGCAGGGGAGTAGCTGTGAGAGGGTGGCAGTGGTGAAGGCCTACGGGGCCCTCGAGCCCTTCACCTTCACCCAATGGGCGCCTGTAGCGGTACGAGTGTAGCTAGCATCACGGCTGTAGTTCGGTTACGGCTGTGGCCCTAGGGAGTGGAGTAACAGGGGAGTAGCTGTGAGAGGGTGGCAGTGGTGAAGGCCTACGGGCCCCTCGAGACCTTCACCTTCACCCAATGGGCGCCTGTAGCGGTATGGTTGTAGCAGTAGTGATGGTAACAACAGTAACAGCAGGGGAGTAGCTGTGAGAGGGTGGCAGTGGTGAGGGCGTATGGGGCTTTCGAGCCCTTCACCTTCACTGGACGGGCGCCTGTACTGTGTAGCTGTAGCGGAATGGCTGTAACGTTTATTAGTAGCAAAAAGATGGCTTTGATGAATCTGCAGCACATATGGCTCTGATGAATCTGCAGCGCATATGGCTCTGATGAATCTGCAGCGCATATGGCTTTGATGAATCTGCAGCGCATATGGCTCTGATGAATCTGCAGCGCATATGGCTCTGATGCTCCCACTTACCCTTTTCTTCCCTCCTGTTTCCTCCTTCCCACTTCCTCCCTCCCCCTTCCCCAGCCTGACTGCCCGTTCCTGCTGCCCGCTACAGTGCACAGGTCAACATCAGCAGGCGCACAGCAATCTTTTACATCTGCCCGAACCTCCTTACTGCCGCCCGGTCCTGCCCACATCCTGCTACATGAGAAGGAAGCTTCCGATTCTGAATCCAATGAAGCTTCTGAGGAAGCTTCGCCCTTCTCATTCTCATACGACATGCCGGGGTCTCAAACCGTCCCCAGCCCATTGAGCTGCTTCCCGGAAGCTTCCTTTGACGAGAGCTTACCGGCAGATGTGGAGCTATTCCAGTCCAACAGCGGGCATCTGCTGGTGCGGCCGCGAATCAACGGCCAGGATGTGGGGTGAGTAACCTCGTCCTGGATTCAGGTGCAGGCTGCTTCACATTTGAACCAACAGTAACGGACCGCCTTGGCCTATCGAGCTTTGGGTGTCAAACGCACCACGGTGACAGTGCACCACGGTGACAGTGCACCACGGTGACAGTGCACCACGGTGACAGTGCACCACGGTGACAGTGCACCACGGTGACAGCGCACCACGGTGACAGCGCACCACGGTGACACCATACCCATGGTGCGTTCCGTGGTGCACTTGACACCCAAAGCATGGTCTCTCCCATACCCATCCCAACCACCCCCCCCTTTCCCCAACCCCACCCACCCCACACGCCCCACCAATCAGCTACTTCATTCTGGATTCGGGTGCAAGCTGCTTCACCATCGAACCAGCTGTAGCAGACGGGCTGGGGCTATCGAGCTTTGGGTGTGTGCACACTGTGACAGTGCACGGGCCGGCAGAGTGTGCCTTCAGACGAGCAGACTCGGTGCAACTGGGTCCTCTCTCCATCAGCAACGCACTCTTTGTTGATGTGAGTGACCTTTCCCCTGAGATACCTTCTCCTTGGGGCATCTTCAGAGCCCCTGGCCAGCTTTGGGATGAGAACTTAGAGGCGTGGGTGCGTGCACATAGTGACAGTGCACGGGCCGGCAGAGTGTGCATTCAGGCGGGCAGACTCGGTGCAACTGGGCCCGCTCTCCATCGCCAATGCTCTCTTTGTTGATGTGAGTGAGACAACGCACACCGCCCGCACACTTTTGAGTCGACTCAAAAGTCACTGTGAGTGAGACCACGCACACCGCCCGCCCGCACACAGTGATGTAAGATAAGAATCACTGCGATTCTCCCTTGTCCTGGAGTGAAGCTGCTGCTGCTGGTGCTGGTGGGTAACTGCAGCTGCAACGTGTTTCATCCCTCACATACTAGCTTTAACGACTCCCTTGCTTCCATGACGCATTTGTGCTTTCACACACTCTCACACACTCTCACAATGGCACCAGGTGGGAGGAGCAGCGCTGGTGCAAGGGGTGAAGCGGGTGGTGGGAAGGGATTCTGCAGCGGCAATGTATTACTTATGAGTCCTTTCACTCTCACTCCCTCTCACAACCACACAGGTGGGAGGAGCAGCGCTGGTGCAGGGGGTGAAGCCGGCGGTGGGTATCTATGGCTATGCTTCCAATCCAACAAGCGTGCTTCTCGTTTCCCCCATCCTCACATGTTTCCCACCTATTCCTCATGTACTCTCTCTCATGCTCCCGCAGGTGGGAGGAGCAGCGCTGGTGCAGGGGTTGAAGCCGGTGGTGGGGATCTGCGGCTACGATGTGTTCAGACACGCCGTTGTGCACGTGCAGGTGAGAGGCAAGGTGAACGGCTGTGTGATCATTCAGGTGAGAGGCACAGGCAGGTAAGAGGGCGAGAGAGTGAGAGGGTGAGAGAGTGAGAGGGTGAGAGAGTGAGAGGGTGAGAGAGTGAGAGTGAAGCCGGTGGTGGGGATCTGCGGCTACGATGTGTTCAGACACGCCGTTGTGCACGTGCAGGTGAGAAGGCATGCGAGGGGTGTGAGGGTCATGTGAGGCGTGGTATGTGAAGCGTGTGAGTGGTATGTGAAGCGTGTGAGTGGCATGTGAGGGGTGTGAGTGGCATGTGAGGGGTGTGAGTGGCATGTGAGGGGTGTGAGTGGCATGTGAGGGGTGTGAGTGGCATGTGAGGGGTGTGAGTGGCATGTGAAGCGTGTGAGTGGCATGTGAAGCGTGTGAGTGGCATGTGAAGCGTGTGAGTGGCATGTGAAGCGTGTGAGTGGCATGTGAAGCGTGTGAGTGGTATGTGAAGCGTGTGAGTGGTATGTGAAGCGTGTGAGTGGTATGTGAAGCGTGTGAGTGGCATGTGAGGGTGAGGGCATGTGAGGGTGAGGGCATGTGAGGGTGAGGGCATGTGAGGGTGAGGGCATGTGAGGGTGAGGGCATGTGAGGGTGAGGGCATGGGCTGATACAAGAGAGGCTGTAAGTCTGAATAATGCCACTGTGAGTGAGACTGATAAAGGAAGCTTCATGACTCAAAGTGGCAGCTTCAAGGCTCAAAAGATGGACCCCAAAATAGGCAGCAAAATAGGCGGGTGTCTTCGTTGCTCCTCCTCTCTCCCCCCCACCATTTGCCACATCCACACAGGCACGGGGCAGAAAAGGGACCCTCCGGCTGTACAAACCCCAAGAAACAGGTGAAGCATCAGAAGCAGGCAGCACAATAACAGGCTCTGTTGTTCCCCCTCTCTCACACCCCACCATTTGCCACATCCACACAGGCACGGGGCAGAAAAGGGACCCTCCGGCTGTACAAACCCCAAGAAACACCCGATGCTCCCAAAGCAAGCAGCAATGCAACAGCAGGCAGCACAGAGAATGGCAGGAGCGGGGAGGCGGACACATCTGAAACAGGGCTGGTACAATCCGCTGCTGCCTTTGCGGATGGATCCGCAGCAAATGCTCCTGTGCCTCCTGGTGTTGCCATGGCACAAAGACGGGGGAGAGGAGGGGCGAGAGGGGGAGGCGGGGCAGGAGGCAGGGTTGGGGGAGGGGTGGCAGTGGTCTCTGCTGCTCTGGTGGGAGGCCACCCCTCCATGCCTGACCTTGGGGAAAACATCTACTGGGAGGTGGGTGGATACTGGGAAGTGGATGGCTGTTGGTGTAAGGTTTCTCGGTGGTTATTGTATGCAATGACTGTCGGTTCTTATTTATTCTCCGCCTTCTGCCCGTTCACCCCGTTCACCCCCGCCCACCCCTCTCTCTCCCCTATCTCTCTCTTACCCCTTACAACCCCTTCACACCCCTCTCAGCCGCTGCGCATGCTGGGCAGCGTGCCTCACATCGCCATCTCCTTTCAAGAGCACTGGGACTCGGCCCCCCAGTCCGGCCTCTTTCTCCTCGACACCGGAGCAGCAGGGGTGGACATAATTTTCAACGCGCGGGCGGTGGAGCGCTGTCAGCTGGGGAGGAGGGCCAAGGGGGGAGATAGTTGGCTCAAGGGCATGGGGGGAGCAGGGGGAGGGGGAGGCGGACAGCAGATGACGGTGAGTGCCCTGACCCGAGTGTGTGACGCTGTGAGAGTGTGTGTGAGTGTGTGTGAGACTGTGTGCGGCTAAGCCTTTGAAGCACGGGAGCAGCAGGGGTGGACATGGTTCTCAACGCGCGGGTGGTGGAGCGCTGTCAGCTGGGGAGGAGGGCCAAGGGGGGAGATAGTTGGCTCAAGGGCATGGGGGGAGCAGGTGGAGGGGGAGGAGGAGGGCAGCAGATGACGGTGAGTCTCGTGACTGGGTGAGTGTGTGGACGAGTGTGTGTGAGAGTGTGTGTGAGAGTGTGTGGGTGAGTGTGTGTGGGAGTGCGTGGGTGGGTGTGTGCTTCCATGCCCTTGAAGCACCGGAGCAGCAGGGGTAGACATAATATTCAACGCTCGGGCAGTGGAGCGCTGTCAACTGGGGAGGAGGGCCAAAGGGGGCGATTGGCTCAAAGGCATGGGGTGCGCAGGAGGGGGAGGAGGAGGGGGACAGCAGATGACGGTAAGTATGTGCTTCCATGCCTTCGAAGCACCGGAGCAGCAGGGGTGGATATCATATTCAATGCTAGGGCAGTGGAGCGGTGCCAGCTGAGAAGGAGGGCCAAGGGAGGGGACAGCTGGCTTAAAGGCATGGGGGGCGCAGGTGGAGGGGGAGGAGGAGGACAGCAAATGACGGTGAGTGAATGGGGGAGTGTGTGCACGCTTGTGCCAATCTCGCAAGCCTAAGGAGGGCCAAAGGGGGGGTCAGGTGGCTCAAGGCATGGGGAGGTCGGGGGGAGGGGGAGGAGGAGTGGGACAGCAGATGTTGGTAAGTGTTCTGAGTCCTCAGCGTGTCAGTGTGTGGGTGAGTTTGTGGGTGAGTGTGTGGGTGGATGTGTAGGTGGGTGAGTGAGTGGGTGTGAGGGAGTGTGTGGGTGACTACTGTAACTGTGCCCGTGCCAGCAACCCTGAACCCTTCTCCCTGCTCCTCTCTCCCATCCGCAGGTGAGGCAGGGCAACCTGGCAGTCGTGACAGTAGCAGGGCAGCAGCTCAAGAACGTGTCAGCGCTGTTCTCCACAGCAGAGCAGGGAGCCTTGGAGTTGTCGCAGTACACTAGCGGTTTGATATGCCGTAACCTACTCTCCAAGTTTGATTTAATTATCGATTATCCTGGGCTTCGAGTTGGCCTCATTCCTCGCTCTTCCCGCATGTCCAAGCTGTAGAGAGTCATCTGCTATATGTTACCGTACACTTTTTTCCGTACAATGTGGTTGCACGGTATACACTACACTCCCAGTTATCTACCGGTACCGGTAGCAGTCTGATAGTCTAATTGCAGAAGCTATACAAGAAGAGCTGTGGTACCTGCAGGGGAAGCAAAATGGGCTCCTTACGTTATTGATGTCAAAGGGTGAACCTCCAGCAAGGTTCTATTATCACAGCACATACATTACCCAAGTCTGGCCGAGAATTCGCTCTAATGTCCAGGGGTGGTACCTTATACCAGGAGAGTCCGCAGAGAATCTGTAAGAAGGAACATTATACATTAGGTTCCTTTTGGGTGATGAAAGCTATTTTCGGCTGAGCTGAATTTGGTAGCTTATCTACTTATTACATGGATTACAACTGCCTAGGTGCCTGAAAATGAAATTTTGTGACTCAGGCAGACAAAACGGTAGGCCTGATTAGCAAGATTCTAAGTCGACTGAGCTACTAAGTGCGGCTATTGTTCACATTGTCCACTACTTTATTGTCACCACTAATTATCTAAGTATCGCTAAGAGCCATCATGACTTAGCTATCGGGAAAGTTCGCCTCTCCGGTGTACGTCTGGTTGACCTGCCACGAAGCCGGAATCACGTTCTTCAAAACAACAACGTTTCCGTTGAAGTTCGTCGTCACGCGCAGCGTCATCGCTTGCCCGCCAACCTTGACCCCATTCAGCGACCACGTGGTTCCGAAGTTCCTGACAAGCGGCTTGAATCCGCCGCTACCGACCAGCTGCGCTTCGATCTTGGAGATAGTTCCGGGTCCCGCGACGTTCAGAGGGAGAAGGTTGATAAACCAGTCATTCCCCATAAGAACCTTGATTTGAATCCCACCCTTGCGAGGGCAAGGCACGCGCGAAACTCGCACAGCGATGTCACCAGCATTTCGCGTGGTTACAATCTGATCATAGACGCTGGGAGGCAGCATGATGGACTTTTTGGGAAGCTGGCACAGGCCGCCGTGAGTTTTGTTGCCCTTGCAGTGGTTCGTGACTGTAAAGGTGGCGGTATTCCCGTTGCATCTCTTGTTCTTCACGCACTTGATCGCCACGCACGCGCCGCACGTCTGGCCGTTCTCGTACAGAATAGAAGACACCGCGCTAGTAGCAGATCCGATACCGGTGTTCACCGTGTTGCCGTATCCGCACGCGCCTTGAGCAAGGCCGCCTTCGGAGGGAGAAATCGTTGCGATGTAGCCGCCATCCCACGTGTTGAACACGCCCTGGTTGATCTTAGCCCGCACGGGCTTTCCTGGCTTCTTCACATGTGGTTTTACGGCAGGAGCCGTCGTTGTTTTCGGCGTAGGAGTTGTTGTCTTCGGTGCAGGCGTCGTTGTTGCCGGTGTGCCGGCAGCAGAGGCCAAAGCCACCAAGCACAGTGCCAAGATTACGGATACAACAGCAAAAGTGGTCCCTCTTGCCATGGTTAGGAGCCTGATCTAGACTAGCCTAAGCAGTCCAAGCCGGCGAGAAACCACAAATTCTGTCTGGAAGCTCTGGAGTGACGATATGTGTATCCTGGAACAACGTGAAAACGGAAAATCAACTCAAGGAATAAAGTACCCGAGGAATGGTTCCGCTTTCAAATGGGGCTCGGAAAGACTGATTTGGGGCATGCTGCTTGTGGGGTCGGGTCACCACCACCACCAGCCGCACCGTCAGCAGCAGAGGACCCATTAGCGCGTAATCCGCCGAAAAGCGGCTAGAAGTAACTAGCGGAAGCGGCGGGCATTGGGATTTGGGAGTCAGGAGGGACAAGGACAAGGCGAGTCGCGCCGTGGCATCCAGCCTCGAGATTTGCCGTATTGCGGTCGGAAGATTTAAATTGCGGCTGCGAATGGTCTGGTACGGTTCTGATTAGGCAAATGTCGTATTCGAGAGTCCGTTGCGGTGCGGTGAAATTCGTGGTGGCGGGAACTGGGGTCAAGTGTGTGCTGGCGGCTCGAAGTTGGTAATGCATCTCTTTGACGCGTATGGGGTGAATCTTTGAGAACATGTTTTCTTTCTCGTGTTCCCTAACAGGTTGTGCTGATATTCCCTCTATTTACCTATGATGAACATAGTGCGTTAGGTAAACTGGTTCTACTTCAGCTAGAACACATGGTACCTTATAATAGACATACATTCACAGATGTGTTATCTTCTGGTAATGGAAACTTCTAAGTACAAGATACACCAATACGGAGACACCAGATTGTAGATACACCTCACTTGCAAATGTATACTGGAGCTTTAAAATGCAGCATCAAAATCACATTGAACGATGATGGTAGGTGCAAGGATGCGATTTCAAAATACTACTTCACATTTAGGATAGAAGCATAGGAAGGGAGTTATGGCAGTGTACATATTTCTGTCCTTGTCCGTACTTCTCAAGCACATCCACAGAACCTCCTACAGGCAGCAACACCTCCCGTTGCAACTGAACAACTTTTTGTGGTCCAAAATCCACGTGAGCAAATTATTTTTGGGACCGCCAGCCAGTCCCACTCTCTTAGGACCCAACCCAAGCTACGTGCTTTTGTTCAGGTGCTCCTAAACGCATCCTAGTTCAGCTATTTAGTTCCTGACATTCTCCTTTTTTATCCTCGAGTCGCTCCGAGTGGCCATCATACCTTCCGGCTTCATTCTTCGTCGGACCGCATCTTTCCTTGCACTGGCAGCGTAAGCTGGCAGATCTATGCTAACCATTAGACGTGTCAGCCATTTCACGTGCAAAAGTCGGGTCATTGTCCATTAGACAAGGCCCGCTGTCGAAACCATGAGTTCAGATTCCTTACCGCGCAGAACCGTCGAGTCTTCAGAAGCGACTAGCCGATCACCTCCTGATGACTTATCAGCAGCGAAATCGCCGGGAAATGCGGACGCTACTGAGCATGGTCCAGCCGGTTTCAAGGAAGCGCAACGGTTCGTTACTCCGCCGGAATCCCCGTCGGCAGTTCAGGGCACTCAGGGAAATGCCGCCTTTGCCTTACAACGCGCTGCGGTAAGCTCACGAGCTCCGCAATCATCGAATGTGACTCTTACGGAGGATCGTCGCGCGCTTCTGTCACACCCTAGAAGTGACAATAACGAAGGAATATCCGAAGTACCCCGTGCAAGCGGCGACGATCCCGAAGCAGGACAAACGGAGAGCAGGAACGACTGGGACAGGGATGGTGCAGCTCACCCGCTTATCAGACCCAGCGACAGCAGAGGCGATCGCTCGCTTAACGGAGAAAATTGGGAATCAGCAAGAGGCGGTGGAAGCCGCGCAAGAGAGCTATTTAGCGGCTGGAACGCTGAGGGATTGCTACGATCCGTACAGGCCGTACTACCAAGGTAGGTCTCCTCGTTGTCATCCGTTTTGACCCGCCTTAGAAGACACGGCTCAAGGGAACAATCCAACGGCTTGGACGCTGGGCGTGGTTCCAACTGCTTCCTTCTCGCCCAAAACTCGTTTCTATCACCTTCCCAAGTTTAGCGAACGTTCTTCTATTGCTTTATCACCCACGCACTTGCATGAATTCTCCCTGCTCGACCTGAACTCCCGCCTACCACCATCCCAGAAACGCGCAGGCCCTGCTGGCCCCGATAAAGGAAAGCTTCTGGACAACCGCAGCCCTTGCAGTGGCGATTTCGGGGGCAGCGATTCTGCTGGCGGTTACCCTCTCGCTCGCGCTCGTACCTTCTGCAGCCCCTGGCAGTTCTATGTCCGTTCAGGACATTGGAGGTGAGGAGGAAGTAGGATGGATGGCTAGAGTGGAAGCTTCTACAAGGATAGCTGCTAGATTCTGCTGGCGGTTACCCTCTCGCTCGCGCTCGTGCCTGCTGCTGCCCCTGGCAGTTATATGTCCGTTCAGGACATTGGAGGTGAGGAAGTAGCGGCGGGGATTACTTGAGTGGAGGGTTCTCCTGTCGTGATTGGAGGCTTGTGCCTGCTGCAGTGCAGCCCCTGT